TAATCGCTTGGCGTTCTCCAACCGTCGAGGATTAGGCCATTAATCGGAAATTTAGGATTAATCGGGTTTGGCGGGATTAATCGGTCAACAAAAGTCAAAAAAGTCGAAAAAAGTCAAAAAAAAGTCAAAAAAGAAAAAATGTCAAAAAAATTTAATAAATTTTAAAAAAAATTCAAAAAACCAACTTTTTTTTTACTCCAAAATTTTCAAATTTTCAAAATGTCAAATATTATACCAAAATGTTCATATTTTAGTATTTCCAAATTACAATTTTCTTATTTTCTAATTTTGAAGTACTTTTTTTTCTTAAGATATATTAATATTTAATTAATTTTAATATTTTATTAATAATCTATTGTCCCCGATTAATCCCCGATTAATCTCCGCTAAGACCGATTAATCCCTTAACACCAGTCAACCGTCGAACTACCGTCGATCGATTTTTACAACCTTGATATATATATAAAGATGATCATATTTATATATTTCTAAAATTATATATTAAAAAAAAAAGAAATAAAGTCTATATATATCATTATAATTATATAACTGAATTGATGCTTATTTAATCTTTATTTAAGTTGTAACCTTGCTCTCGATGGTTATGTCTAATAAAATAATAAAAAACACTTTTAATAAATTAATAACAAATTAAATATCCTTTTATAAATTAAACAAACTTTATAGACTAAATAACTACAAATCCAATAGTTTGGTATCTACCTTAACATATTTAAAAAAAAAGTAAATTACACGAATGGTCCCTATGGTTTGGGATAATTTGCGTGTTTGATCTCTAACTTATTTTTTTAACTTGGAAGGCCTCTAATATTTGTTTTTGTTACGCGTTTGATCCCTACTGCTTGTTTTTGTTACATGTTTGGTCTCTATCTTACATAAAAAGACTATTATTTAAATAGGAAAATATGGTGGGGTAGGTAAGGTGAGGTGAAGGAGGTGGGGTTGGGGGTGTGTTTATTTAAATAAATTAAAAACCAAGGGCAAAATAGTCTTTTTAGGTAAGATAGGGACCAAACGCGTAACAAAAAACAAACAGTAGGGACTTTCCGAGTTGAAAAAATAAGTTAGGGACCAAACGCGCAAATTATCCTAAACCATAGGGACCATTCGTGTAATTTACTCTTGAGAAAAATTAAATAAAAAATGGCAAACACCAGAGCAGATAGTTACCCATCTTCCTGTGTACTGATGACAACGTATTAGGGCAAAAAATGTGACCTTTCTTGATAGCATATTACCCATTTGTGTTCCGAAGGAGATCAGGGCAGATATCGAAGAAAATTTCATTTCATGAACGACGCAATACTCATCTTACAGAAGCGTCTCTGTTCCTCATCTCTATTTCTGGATTTTGATTCGCAGAGCCAGATTTGTCAAAACCAGCATATCATATCACACTGCTGTTCTGATTCAGAAATATCATCATCAACTCTGTAACGGTAGGGAAAGAGTAAGTCAGACTATGATTCGATCTTAAATATTTATAATTACGACACCATGCTGTTGATTTCATTGTTCTGATAGTTTACTTGTAATCATAAGTTGACTTCTGCAACCTCATACACTTTTTTGATGCCGACTTCTTCAGTTTTTGAGTTTCAATTTTCAGTGTTAGACTATTTACATGTTCCCTGTTGAGTTTTATCCATGTTTTTGCAGATGTCTGGTTCTCAAAATAGACTTTTTGTAATATGCAAGTTAAGGTTTAATTAAAGTGGCATGGTTGCTTTAAATATCAAAGATTGGCATGTAAAACACCCCAATTTTCAAATTGAGATCACTGTTCTTGAGCCAAGAAGTGGATCTATATGAGTCAAACAATATCACTACTTTATACAAGCATGTTGCAAGATTGAGTCAGTAGTCCTGTATGAATTTAAAAATAACTAGCAGATATAATCTTCTAAAATGAAAATAAAAATGGTGCATTAACTAGTCTAAGATTTATTATCACTTTATCAGCACATCTATTAGATCATATGATATGTTGTTCTGTAGGAACTGTGTAGGAATTCTGTTATACCAATTTTGTGCTGCATTCTGTAAATGGAAACTCAGGGATTCTTTTTGCATTTTGATGTCACATTGTACATATTATGGAAGTTTTATTCTTTATATATGAATAATCATATGCTTAATAAATATATTCTCCATCTGACATTCTTTCTTATGCTCGACAAATTGCCTCAATGAGAACATGCATTTAGTGTTTTGATTGTTAATTACATCAGTTCTCTGTACATCATGGGAGGTTTTTCTTTCTTTCTTTTTTTTTTTCAAAAAACCATGGTATGTTACACCTTTCTGCCAACGTGGCACCTAAGGACTTGATATACATACGTGTCACTAAGGAGTTAATAGTACACTTGTCCAAAATCAATGAACATAAGGCTAGAAGAGAAAGCAAAAATACCAATACTCAATAAGCAGCCTTGTTCTATAGAATTAGGGCTCAATTCAAAGGCAACTCAAACACTCAAACCCTCAAACACCATTTCTACATTTTTCATCTTTCTCTTGTGAACACCGAATTCCTTTGAATCAATCACACAACTTTGCCAATGGGGAGAAGGAAATCAATTAGGCTTTCAAATATGGCAACAGAAGACTTGAATGATGATGATCGAATAAGTCGTCTTCATGATGATCTTATTCATCATATCTATTCATTCATGGACACTCGATTTGCAGTTCAAACTAGTCTTTTATCAAGAAGATGGAGAGAAACATGGAAATCCTACCCTTTTCTCAACTTCAAGATCGAACGCCCAATTGATCACAAAACAGGTATCAAATTCCCCAATTTCATCCACCGATTTTTCTCAGATCGTGATCACAAAGCAGAAATTACCACAATCGACTTCCAATCAAATTCCATCAAGCTTTCACTTCTCAAAGAAACAATAATCTATGCAATGTCACACAAAACCCAAAAGGTAAACATTGAGTTCTTGAGTGATAAACTAACCAGACGTGGTGGTTTGGATATATCTTTATTTAGATCTCAATTCCTTCAAGATCTTCATTTGAGTATCGATTTTGAGCTCTTGAAATCTCCATCTTTGACTTGGGATTTACCTTCTTTGACTAGCTTGAATCTTGAAGGTGTTACATTTACACTTAATCCTCTTCCTAATGATAGTAAGTGTAAATCCATTGAGTTGTTTTCCCGTTTTCCAAATCTGAAAACTCTTGTTTTAATTGGTTGTCGATTATCAAACATTGATACTTTCATCATCACATCAAATTCATTACACAATCTGAGTCTTATAGATCTTCATCACAATTCTGAGTTTATACTCACAGCACCAAATCTCTCATCTTTCACTTACTATGGTATGGCCCGCTTTTCATTATCAGTCAAGAATCTTGATTCATTACAAACAGTAAACTTTCACACAATATATTATAGAGCTCTTCAGAAGCAACCAGAGCTTGTTGAATTGATGATCAAGGCTTTCAAACAGCTTCATAAGGCGAAGTTTCTTGCTATAAATTCAGATGTTGTGAGGTTTCTTTCGGGGTTCCCTCAAGTACTTGAAACAAGATGCCCTTTTAGGAGTTTGACAAGTTTGACTTTGGTTGAACATCGGTTGCCTCCTTCATCGATTGTGTTTTCTGATGTTATTGATTATTTTCGTAGCAGTTCTCCAGGTGTTAAAGTTAATGTTGAAATTGGTGTAGCAGCTTCATGTAAGATTCGTTGGATTGACTGCTTGTAGGGGTTGTTGAATCTTGTTTTGAGATCCTTAAAGTTTTAATTTTTTCAGGTTCAGTTAATGAAGTTGTTCTGGTTTACAACACCCTTTGGTTTGGAGTTTGATGGTTGTTTTGTCTGCATAAGTTGGTGAAAACAGTGTGATATGGTAGTCAAACATCTAAAGTTGTTTTTGTTTTGTTTTAGGATTCTGGATTTCCCTTTCGAACTTATGTTGTTTCTGTTTTAGGCTATTTTGTTTTCTGAAATGCTACATATGTTGTTGCTAGGAGATGGATTTTGTTTTGTGCTTCTCATCTTGTTTATAGTTGTTTAAGTTATTGCGGGATTTCTTATGGATGATATAGAGCTCTTAAATTCAAATGTTGTTTTCGCTAATCGATTATATCATGTAATTGCTGATATAATTATCCAACAGCAATCAACTTTTATTAAAGATCGTCAAATTCTTGATGACTCTTTAATGTTATATGAGATAGTTGGTATGTACAAGAAGCATAAAAAAATAGTTAATGGTGTTCAAACTCGACTTTGAAAAGGCATATGAATCTTTACAATGTATTTAGATGATGTTTTTCAAAAGATGGGTTTGACATTAATGAAGAGGGTGGATTCTATGACATTTATTCTTGTAAACGAGTCTCTTACTTTTTAAGTATCATTTAAAAAGGGATATATGTCAAAGTGATCCACTTTCCCCCATTTTTGTTTATTATAGTTATAGAGGAACAAATAATAATGCCTTTCATGGTGCGAGGATTGGAAATGAGGAGTTGATAATTTCACATATTTTCTATGTAGATGATGCCAATTTGCCGAGAGTGGTTGCAAGATAATGTTAGGATTTTATGTTGTTTTTGTTTAGGGTTAACGATTAATTTACTGGAACAACAAGTTGTGTGTATGGGTCAACTCGGTTGTATGTTGTTGGTTGTGGATATATGAGATTACCTTTTAGGTATTTAGGTCTCCTGATGCAATCTAACATGTCTTGGTTAAAAGGGTCGAAAAAGTATTATACATAAATTCACGATAAAAATATCTAGATCGAAAGTGAACATGTTTTCGATGGAAGGTTGGCCACTCTTTTAAAATTGGTGTTGGGCAACCTCAGTTATCTAGATCAAAAGTGAACATGATTATGGTGGGAGGTTGGGCCACTCTTTTAAAACTAGTGTTGGGCAACCTCAATATCTATTATATTTAGTTATTTTGAGCTTGGATATGGTCATTAAATATTTGGAATCTGTCATAAGTCGTTTTTTCTAGTGTAGTGAATTGGGTTAAAAGAAAATGGCGTTGGTTAGCTAGAGAAAGGTTATTACTAGCAAAAATGTTGGAGGTCTTGCTATTAGAGGTTAAAATGCTTTCAACCTAACTTTCATGTTCAAATAAACATGACATTTGTTTGACAATGTTAATTCCTTAAGATTAAAGTTGTTTATGGGACGGTCGACGTCATGGATGAGAATATTTCTTGTGGTTCTATTTCTGCTATGCGGGCTAATATTCTTCTTTCGTCCACTCAAATTCTCTATAAAAGTATTGACTTGGTCTTTTTTCTTCAAAGATCATCGGAAATGGTCTGTGGAGAGGGGTTTTAGGAGGATATTTGACATAGTCATTTACATTTTAAAGTCTGATTCCCTAGACTTTTTCCTATAGATAAAAATAGAAGTTGCTCAACTCGTTTGAGACACTACTTTAGTATTTGGCCAGATTGTTTACATGACCCCTCCCCCTTTTCTCTCGCCGGGGGGGGGGGGGGGGGTGACTGATGAAGATCGAGGACAAGATCTTAATGTAATTTTATAAAGTTTGGTGTTGCTAAACAAAAAAAATATTTTTAGGTTGAGAGCTTGGTTTATTTGATGTTATACTTTGTGGTTTCGGCCAGAATAATCATTAATAATTGTACTCTTATTGGGGATGACTTGATTAACTCATTAAGGTTAATGGTGATATGGAGAATTCAACTAAAATATTATAAATTTCTTAGATTCATGGTACCTTATTTATTGCTACAAGGTAGCAGGTACTATCAAATGACTTCTAGTCCAATATTATCAAGTGTTGTTATTTCTTGTGGAGGTTGATGATCAAAGTCTCGTTTGAGACATATATAGATTCAAGAGTAGTTTATGATTAAATTAGATTTGTCGTTTAAAAAAAATAGGTATTATTTATATTTTATGGTTACTTGAAACCATCCCGTCGGTGAACCATTACTAAATTTCCTTACAAAAGTTATGTAACAGAACATTTTATGATTGGTCAACTATATATTTATCTATAGTTAAAATTTATATCTTAAAATTTACGATTTAAAATATTAAAATAAAATAAATTTATAATTCTTCTAGTATAATATTGACCTACTTTAATATTCATTATTTCAACTTGTTTTTTATTTTGTATTCACTGTTGTGGATATTTAGTAAATAAATTCTATTTTAAATCTTAAAAGTTTTTAAAATAAATAACTTATTTATTTCAAAATTTATTAATCATTTAATTTTTTTAATAATATTTATTTATAGATCATATTTATTTAATAAAAAATAATTTAGGTTATGTTGTAGTTATAAAAATAGGGTTTAGTGATTTTTAAAATATAAAAAAGAAATAAACTAGTTTTTTTAGTAAAAAAGTTGGATTGTATTTAGCCATGGAAACAGTTTTATTAATTCTTTTCTTATTTAAAATAATAATAATAAAAAAATCACGGGAAATATACTACTATAGATACATATTTACAGCAAATTAGTTTTCTTTGGTATCATTTTCGACCGACGGACTGACTATGATGAACCTTACTGTCTGGTGAGCCAATCTACAGTTTTGATTGCTAATAGAATTAGATGTCTACATGCTTCCAAATCATGTAAAAGATTATAGTTTTTTCTATTACGTAGCTCCAGTTTGTTAATTCTGGATTCGAAATTAATTCGAGGATTCCTAATTAACCTAGATTTTTAATTGGGTGCTTGTAGGATTCTTAAATTTGATCGGCGTTGTGCCTTCAGTAGCTAAAATTTCGAACAGATATCGGTGTCGATGGATGTAAGTCGCTTTTGATTTCGTTAATTCAATCTTAGATTTTAAATTTCCCTGTTGCTTGGTTTTCCTTGATGAACAGACACTTATAGTTGCCATCGTGTTCTATATATGTTGTGCACCAGTGGGTTCTATGATCTTACTGCAGATTTCACCTGGATTCTGTTGTAAATTAATCCTTTACAATTTTAATCTTGGATCGTTTTGGTGGTGGCAATATTTTTTAGGTGTCTTCAATCTGCATTTTTTTAACGAAGATAAATCTCTGGATTTACGTAATTCTAAACTTTTGTAGCAGTTTTTCCTAAGTAACTTTAATCTGCATCTTTTTATTGAAGATGAATCTCTTGATTTTGTAATTCTAAACTTTTGTCTAGAAGATTTACAAAGATCAAGGAGCATTAGAGCATTTACTCCTTAAAAACTAAAGACGTTGTTTTTGAAAAATTGTGTATAGTTTTTAGTGGAAAACCCATATCAATGGTCCATGGATGTTCTCTAAAGTATAATGTGTTCCATTATTCCAAGTGGTTATCCTATTTTGGTTGATAAAGAATTTGTTATTTCAAGAAATTCCTATATAACTTTAATAAGTAATAACATAGTAAAACGGTTTTTCTTTCTTTTATAAACGGATTTTGTGATTTCATTCTTGCAATTGACTATATATAGTATACTGTAGTCAAAGTGCACCTTGCCAATCGAAACAAGTAGTTGAGAACAGAAAATATGTATACATGGGAGTTCATAGAAAATGCTGTATTGAGATCCACATCTTGTTTTCAAAATCTGCAATGATGTAGCTTATCCAAAAGATTCTATCGAATTCTTGTTGAAAACTTAGGTGTTGTTTGTTTTTTAAGATGTAAAATGTCAGTCTGTGGACCACATCTACAGAAGAAGAGGTGGACCAAACGCCTGCAGTCTGCAAGAAGAAGACTGTTTGTTTTTTATGGTCTGCAGTCTGTGGACCACATCTGCAAAAGAAGAGGTGGACCAAAGGTTTGCAGTCTGCAAGAAGAAAACTATTTGTTTTTTAAGGTCTGCAGACCACATCTGCAGAAGAAGAGGTGGACCAAACGTTTGCAGTCTGCAAGAAGACTGTTTGTTTTTTAAGGTCTGCAAACTGCAGTCTACTGACCACATCTGCAGAAAAAGAGGTCGACCAAACGTCAGCAGTCTGCAAGAAGAAGACTGCAAGAAGAAGACTGTTTGTTTTTTAAGGTCAACAGACTGCTAAATTAAAATGCATTTTAAATACATTGGTTTTTTAAACTTAAAAGAGTTTTTCAACACCGAAATTATGGTCGTCACAGTGTACATTCTATGGAAGTTGCAATCTCCATATATGTATAATCCTATGGCACATTTTCTTTAGTTTAACAAGTCGCCTCAGTGTAGTGTAGCTTGTCATTATTGCAGCATTCATGAAGGATTTTGAGTACTATATAACTATTAATGAGTTGACTCGTATAACTCGAATCTTATTTGAAACAAAGGATAACTATCCTCTTGTTTTCAATGATCTATTCAATGCTTAGCGGTGAGTAATAACTCGATTGCCAGCTCACTTGATACGTCATAGGTCTATAAAGGTAAACAAAAAGGGTATTCCTCATTTCCTCTATACACATCCCCAATCCCAAAATCAAACACCAAAACCAATTCTCTTGAATTAGGGCTCCATATCTCAAAAATGGTGAAGAGAAAACCAATGATATTTGATGATATCAATAGTGATAAAGAGCCGATGAACGATAATGATCGAATTACTCGTTTGCCAATTGATGTTATTCATTACATGTACTCATTCATGGATTCAAGATGCATTGTTCAAAGTAGCGCTCTCTCATGAAGGTGGATAAATAAATGGAGATCCCACCCCTATCTCAACTTTGAAACCCTTCCTTTCACCAATAAGAAATTTCCCAAATTTATGCATCGATATCTCTCCGATCGCAAGAATGACGCAGAAATCGTCACCATTGACTTTCGGTCAACTTCAATCAGGCTAAGTCTTCTCAAAGAGGTGATATCTTATGCAATGTCTCACATTACTCAAAAGATAAACATTGAATACTCGAGTCCTATCCAAACAAGACGTGGTGGATTCGATTTATCTTTGTTTAAATCTCATTTTCTTCAAGATCTTTGTTTGAATATCGATTTTGAGCTCTTTAAAACTCCAAATCTCACATGGGATTTGCCTGTTTTGACTACTTTGCATCTTGAAAGGGTTTCATTCTTACTGTATCCTACTGATAACAAATCCTTGGATTTGTTTTCCACCTTTTCAAATCTGAAAAATCTTTTCTTGGTTGATTGTCAATTATGGCAAGTTAATACTTTCTATATCACATCAAGTAAATTAGAGAATCTGAGATTAAAATTTCTTCATCATTCATGTCAGTTTGTGATCTCAGCACCAAAACTTTCCTCTTTCACATATGATCGCATGGATCATCTGTCTTTGTTGTTAACCAGTGATCTCAATTCATTAGAAACTTTAGTCTTTCGAACCATTTATGACAACAGATCATTGGGAGAACAACAAAAGAATGTTGAATTGCTGATCGATATTTTTCATCAAATGTGTAACACAAAGTTTCTTACTTTGAACACTGCGACATTGAAGTATCTTTCAAGATTCCCTGAATTACTTGAAAGTAAAATTTCCCCTTTTGTGAGATTACAAACTTTGACATTACATGAAATGCCTCCATCATCTGTTGACCTTGCTGATATCATCAGTTATTTCCGTAGCTATGTTCCAGATTGTTTGCTTTTTGTTGAATATTATCCAGAATTATGGAGCACTCTTGACTTGAAATCCATTGAAAAAATCATCATCAGGTAAGATCAGTTTAAATTCTTAATACTTATTAATGTTCAATTATGTTTTAAGCTATGTTTGGATCTTGAGCTTATGTTTAAGATTATTACTCATGGTTCATTTGGAGTAGGGTTATTTCTGTTTTTTCTTTTAATCTTTACTTATCTGCATTTTACCCATTCTTACACCTATAAATTTGAATTTTCAGGTTTGATTGATCTTTTGATATCAGAGGCTGTCTCTCCTGGTTACCCTTTGTTGCTTTTGAGTGTGTGTGTGTGTGTGTGTGATAAACTCTAGTCATGTTTACCTTTTTGGATTTCTTATGTTAAACAACAATGCTTTGTGTTTTTGGCTACAAATGTTGTTACTGTTTTAATCATGTTATGGATGCTTTGTTGTTGTGTGGATCTTCTGGTATTTGTTAAAAGATTTCAGTTTTCAATCATCAACAAGTGCTTATCGTATTCTTTTTTCAAGAGATTGTAGTGTTAGTTAAAATTTCATGGGGCTCGAGACAAAGAAAGATCAAGGCAGCATATCAGCTTTTCCTTTATACTTTATTTGGATATGCTTTTATGCTATTGGCTATTCTGTTGATTCTTTTCCAAATAGGAACCACCGATTTATAAATTTTATTAACCATAGAATTTAGTGAGTATATAGCGTAGGATATACCTCCACCATTGATGCAGAATCCCACAAACCTCCTTGACAAAATTACAATGAAACATCTTATGGGATGTGCAAGTTTTATAACTCTCTTCATTTTGGGCTTGTGTGAAATTGTACACTCTCTCCTATCCAATCTAGGTTCTATAGAGCCACCGTAAGAACCAAACAAGGGGTTGCAAGTCGTTTATGCTTGTGAGACTTATCTAGAAAGCAATCACTAATCCTCCAATATAGGTACTCATTTCTCCTTTTTGGACATCGAAGTCACGAGTGACTATAAGTCTCAACCCATCCTATGTGTATACACGTAGGGTGTCAAAATAGATTCAATTTAAAAATAGATTTTATGAATGCAACAAAAACTTATAGTATTCGTATTGCAAGAAATGGGTATAATATATAAATTCAATCAAAGTAGGTTCAAGGATATGTACTCTTGGTATAAACTCGTCTTGATCTTTACAAGCACTTTCTTTCATTTTTAAAGCTGAGTAAACACCTAATACTCACGTATGATCAACATGCATACGCTGAATCAATGATTAATTACATAAATTTAAGTCTAAACCATAATTCCAACCCAAATTATCTTATTTCAACCATAGTCTAACATATGAGAAGTAGTAAGGAAGCTATGGAAAAAGTTTGAGCTTAATTGGACAAGGTAAGTCTTTTGCCTTTCTTCATATTCTTTGCACAAAGTTTAATAGCTTATTTGAGAGCTTGAAGTTTTCTGGAAAGCTTCTCCACATTGGAGAAGACATTCAACCCCGTTCTTTTATTCATCCATTCATTTTCACTAAAATTTCCAAATCAATGTTTCTTAACCATGAGTTAAGAAATGAAAAGGAGATGGGTCGAAGTCAGGACTATTAGAGAGTAATAGGAGCAGAAAGTGTGGTCTGACAAGATATTTGGCAGGGCAACAACATACGAGTTGGCCAAACTTGAACAAAGCAATCCGAGATCAAGAAACAATTTACTTTACTAAACTTAGAACCGTCTCAACTCATCAAAATTGTACTTTCTCCCTGATGTTCAAATCCAAGATGTCCAAAGCATTAATAAAATTCTTAAAATTAAGAACACTTGTATTGCAAAAAATAGAACCTTATGTGCCTGGGGTTTCTAACCTTGTTGAAGTTGCCACATAAAAGCCATGAACGATCATGATCTCCATAAATAGTATGCGAAATGGTGTTCAAAAGCTTGTGCTTAAGGTTGATGTCTTGCGTATTGTTGATGAACACACAAGGAAGATTGCAATGATTTCCAAATTCCAGTGACTACTACATAATTCCTTTCCATATGCATTTCCTCAAAGAGGGATGGGTCCTACACAAAGACAATACCACCAGAAATGCCAGCCGAATCAACGTCAACGTATGCACAATTTCTATTACCCCATAAGTCTCTAATAATCAATCCATCATCTCGACAGATCTTGTTTCCTGTATACAAAGAAAAGAAACGTGATCCCACAAAACTAGGTCCTTTATTCAGATACGTTTGAAGTCTTTTGTAAGACCATCACTATTCTTATTTCTTTTGTATACTATTAACACAAATACTAAACCGATTTATGTCGATTCGTTTTCTGCCCCAATGAGACACAACTTACAACACCCATTATATTATTTCACTCACTCACACATTCATTGTTAGGAATTTGAAGAGTTTATAAATCTGGATTCCCGTAGGTTTGCTTTCGCTGATATTTCTACCTTGTGTCCGTGTTATAAGAACTCTAGCTTAGGATAATCCAAATGGACACTTACGAATATAGGCACATAAACGTAAGTCAAATTGCTAGAAGAATTCTAACTTTGTCAGAGAAGAATAAGAGATGAGAAGGGTCTGCCACGGCTCAAAGAGAAGAGTCGTATTTATACTTGACAATTAGGGTTTTCGTATTCTGAATTAATTAAGAAAATCCCATAATTAATGACATAACCACTGGTTTCCAAACTGACGAGGTTTGTCAATTTTACCACTTTCAGGGGCTCTCCCCCTAGGACCCTGCAAGGGGTACGACCCTCTTGACTCCATCATTTTGTCGTACCGACTTATAATTCAATTTTATGTATGCGTGCACTCCGCACACACACCGAACATATATTATAGAGAACAAATCATAAACCTCTTAGCTCACATATTAGTTCTAATTACACAAAATTGAACACATCAATTTAGTCTTGGATGGGCTCAACACTATAATGTCAACACCAAATCACCGAGGGGCCCAAATATATCGCTTTTTCCTGCTAGGGAAAATGGAACGAATAAATTTCGACTCATATGCTTGTATTTTTTACTCACCAAATTATGCATGCCAATACGTTTTAGAACATCAAGTTATTGATGCGTTTTTGTAACACCGATGCACAACCGACTTGTAAGTTACAACTCATATGCCTCTACTTTAAGAATATAAGACATTATCGTCTCAAAATTACTTGTGATGTAATCCATGAATTAATTCTCTAAGCGTGGGTTTATCCAATACTCAAAATCTCCATTTTTCTAAGTACTCATGAATATTGTAGCAACTATTGCAATGTCTAATCTCCATAGACAATCTACAATCCATTCATGACAAGGTCTTGATTCACTACTTACTTCCAAAAGTATGAGTGACTGTCGAATTTTTGAATAATCAAATTAATCAGGAAGTAAAACATGTAAAACGAAACACAAAATAAATAATTGAAAAAGCAGTAACCATACTCATAAATAATCTCTATTATTTAATCACCAAAGTCAATTACATTTATTTTGTTACAAGTTTCAAAATATCAACTAACTACTAAAACTGATATCATATCTTAGGCCTATGCTCCTAGCATGATGGTTATGCTTAACCCTACTCATAGCCTTCGTGAAAGGATCTGAAGGATTATCTTCTGAGGATACTCTCTTCACTATAAGATGACCTTCTTCAACCCTATGTCTGATGTAATGGTACTTTCTTTTGATATGCTTGGATCTACCACGATGCTTGGGTTCTTTGGTCAAAGCAACCGCGTCTTCATTATCATAGTAAAGTTCCAATGACTCTTGAATGGTCGGGAGTACTCCGAGATCGCTGATGAAGTTATTCAACCAAGCTGCCTCCTTTGATGCCTCACTCGCTGCGATGTACTCTGATGCACAAGTAGAATTAACCATCGTTTCGTGCTTGGAACTTTTCCAAGTCACTGCTCCACCATTTAACACAAACACCCAACCCGACTAAGAACAAAAGTTGTCTCGATCTGTCTGAAAGTTGGCGTCACTATATCCAATTACTCTTAACATATCACTGCCTCCAAGGACTAAAATCATATCCTCCGTCCTTCTCAGATACTTAAGTATGTTCTTCACTGCAGTCCAATGAGCTCTGCCAGGATTTCCCTGAAAGCGACTGACCATGCTCAATGCATAAGACACATCAGGGCGAGTACATGTCATAGCATACATGATCGATCCTACAGCCAAAACATATGTGACTCGACTCATCTCAGCTATTTCTTCATTTGTACTAGGGCTTTGAGTCTTACTCAACTTGGCATTACTCTGAATATGCAGTTCCCCTTGGAATTTTCCATACTAAAACATTTTAGTACCTTGTCCAAGTATGTACTTTGACTAAGACTTATATGTCTTTTCTTTCTATCCCTCAAAATCCTTATCCCAAGAATATAGGCTGCTTCCCCTAGATCCTTCATGTCGAAACACTTCCCAAGCCAAGATTTCACTTCTTGCAAGGTTGGAAATGTCGTTTCCCATAAGGAGTATGTCATCAACATACAATACTAGAAAAGTTACTATACTCCCACTAGATTTGACATACACACATGGCTCATCCTCGCTCCCAGAGAAACCACATTCTTTGACTTTCTCATGGAAGAAAAGATTCCAACTACGAGATGCTTGTTTCAATCCATAAATGGATTTCTCAAGCTTACACACTCTATTAGGAAACTTTGCATGCACAAAACGCTAAGGTTGACTCATGTAAACATCCTCAGCCAACTTCCATTAAGGAAAACAGTTTTGACATCCATCTACCATATTTCATAATCATGAAAGACATCTATGGCAAACATTATCCTGATAGACTTTATCTTAACCACTGGTGAAAAGGTCTCATGATAATCAACCCCGAACGTTTTGAGTATAGCCCTTCGCAACCAGTCGTGCCTTGAATGTGTGTACTTTCCCATTCATGTTGGTCTTCTTCTTGAAGCAATGTTTTAAAAGCCGGTTTTTTAGTTGAACCGGTATGGTGACTGGTTCCCGGTTTAACCGGTTCGACCGTCGGGTCAACCGGTTTCTATAATTTTCATTTTTTTTCTATTTTCCTACACATACATACATATATAAATCATGATTTGACGTTTACAAGTTCAAATATTAAAAATATACATAAAATTAAGTTGTAAATCAATCCAAATACATTAAAATAACACATAACCTGAAGTTTTAGTGTTTTACATCAATCCATATACGTCAAAAAGAAAATAAAGCATAATACTGAAACAAAGCATAGTTTTAGATGAAT